GTCCTCCGTCGCGTTTCCTGGCCTGTCCCCAGGCGTTTCCCCTGCCCGTTCCGTGGCGGGCCCCCTGCGACGTCCCTCGGCATGTCGTCCTCTGGCCGCCCCGTGGCGCGCGCTCTGGCACGTCCCGGTGCAGGTCCCCGACGCGTCCAGGGCACGTCCCCTGATGCGTCCCCTGACACGTCCCCTGGCGCATCCCCTGTCGCGCCCTTGGCACATCCTGTGGCGCGTTCGTGAGCCTGTGCCCCGTGTCGTGTCGTTCCTTTTTCGGAGCTGAGTCGGATTTTGAGCTCGAGTTGATTGAATGTCCTCCACGTTTCCACTTCATTAGCTTTGGGGGCGGCTACTACGTGCTCAGGCAGCTCGAGCTTAAGATCTAGATCAGTTCAGTTAGGCCTCGAATGCCAAGGAGGACTCGATCCACAACGCTATAGAGCACAATCGCGGAATGGCACATCGCAGTTCAGCACGGCACAGCACAGCACAGCCCTGGGCACGGAACTCCAAGATCGATACACTCAGCATTGCAATTGCCCGGCGCCCAATCAGGTGCCCGACAACGTTGCCATGCCTCACATTTCCATATCCCTTTCCGGGTTCGTGGGTCGATCAGCTTTAAATCGCGCGTGCCAGGGGGTCGTCGCGGGCGCCGTCGAGGGTATCGTATACCCCCCTGCACGGCAGCCTCAAGACGATTGCCCTTTGTATTGACGTTGCTACAGGGATCGTATACATCTCAGGCGAAGTTTTTCCCGGAAAGGGCGTGGGCCCAGGGTTCTCTTTTAGAGGTTCCCCCCCAGGGACGACTTGCGCAGGACCGGCGAATTTCCGCTCGATAGAAAACGAGGTAAGGTCCAAATCGGCGTGGAACAAATACGCTTCGCGCGTGCCCGCGCAAGGAAAATGCACCCCCTTATCTCGGATCCTCGATAAACAACGGGGTCCGCATCGACACGTTTTCCCGTGTAGCAAGCGGGGTGCGGAGCGTTTTTGCGCGGAATCCATAATTCTAACACGAGGTATGGAGACCCTCAAGGTTAAAACAAGTAAATGGAAGGAAGAGTGGATTTTTGCGTGCCCGCTCGAGGATGGCGCGTCCCGCGCGCAGGAATCTCGAGGACGTCTCGAGCCCCGCGCCTGTTCTGCAGAGGGAAGGTTTGCTCTTCGCGTGCCCGCTCGCGCGTGCCGAATATTCTGAGGATGTCTTGGGCGACGCGTTTGTCTTGGAGCGCTTGAAAGGCCTGGGCGCCCCGGGATGCCCAGGTGGTTCTGGGAGTGCGGTCGGACCGTTATCTACGAAGCATCGTGGCCCTGGGAGCGCGGATGCCGCGTAATCTGCGAAGGATCCTGGCCCTGGGAGCGCGGACGCAGCGGGATTGGAGGAGGGATCCTGGCCCTGGAGGCGCGAAGCCAGAGTCATTTGCGAGGGATCGGTGCCCTGGGAGCGCGGACGCTGCTTAATTCTCGAGGGAGTGCCGCCCCGGGAGCGCGGACGCAGCGTAGTTTACGATGGATCGTGGCCCATGGAGAGCGGACGCAGCGTGATTTACGAGGGATCGTGGCCCTGGGAGCGCGGACGCAGCGTAATTTACGGTGGATCGTAGCCCTTGGAGCGCGACGCAGCGTAATTTAAGTCGGTTTTCCTCGTTGCCTTTCGTCGTTGCCGCCGTGTCGGTGGCTGCCGTTTTTGTCCCTGCCAGGAACTCGCGCCTTCTCAGGACGCGCGCACGGCCAACTTGGAATCCTAGATCCCTCCTCCTCCTCCTCCTCCTCCTCCTCCTCCTCCTCCTCACCCTCCTCCTCCTCACCCTCCTCCTCCTCCTCCTCCTCCTCCTCCTCCACCTCCTCCTACCTTTCCTCCTCCTCACCCTGCTCCTCCTCACCCTCATCCTCCTCCTCCCCCTCCTCCTAACCTTCCTCATCCTCTCCTCCTCCCTCCCCCTCCCCCTCCCCCCCCCCTCCCCCTCCCTCCCCTCCCCTCCCCCTCCCCCTCCCCCCCCCCCTCCCTCCTCCTCCTCCTACTCCTCCTCCTCCTTCTCCTCCTCCTCTCCTCGTCCTGCTCTCCTCTGATCTCCTGGCAGGTCTCGTTCTGGACCCCGTCTCAGGAGACCCGCTCGCAGGTTGTAGGGGTTTCGTGCCGTAGTTCCGCTGGCGCACGCGGAGCATGCTGCAACGCTACTCGAAACTTTAACGCTGAGCACATTCAGCGCTCAGCTGAGTAGGATCCCCCCCTCTCTCGCACGGGTTGCCCGCTCCGCTCCTCCTCCTTCCGTGTCTCTTCCCCTTCCTCCTCCGCCATCCCCCCCCCCCAAAATCTCTTTTCCTCCACGTCCAGCTCCTCCGTGTCCTCGCCTCCTCCCCTTCGTCTCCCCTCTCGCTCTCGGCCCCGCCCTCGTCGCTGCAGCCCGTCCTCGTGGGACGTCGCTCGCAGCCTCGTCTGCAGGAGGCCCTGGCCGCGTCACCCCCGCACGCGCCTGTCACCCGGACGCGGGGCGCCTCGTCTCCCTCGCCCACCGCCCTCCTCCTCTTCCCCATGCTCTCCTCCTCCTCCTCCTCCTTCTCCTCCTCCCTCCTCCTCGCTCCTCGGCCTCCGCCTCCGCTCCTCTCCTCCTCCTCCTCCTCCTCCTCCTCCTCCTCCTCCTCCTCCTCTCCTCCTCCTCCTCCTCATCCTCCTCTCTCCTCCTCCTCCTCCTACCTCCTCCCTCCTCCTCCTCCTCCTCCTCCTCCTCCTCCTCCTCCTCCTCTCTCTCTCCTCCTCGCTCCTCGGCCTCCCTCCGCCTCCGCCTCCGCTTCCTCCTCCTCCTCCCCTCCTCCTACCTCCTCCTCCTCTCCTCCTCCTCCTCATCCTTCTCTTCCTCCTCCTCCTCCCTCCTCCTCTTCCTCCTTTCCTCGTCCTCCTTCGCCTCCTTTCATCGTCCTCATTTCCTAGAATGAAGGCCTCGGTGCTCCAGGTGCGGCTGCTGGAGGAAGGTCGAGTGCGCGAAGAGGGAGCTGCTAGTCTTGGGAGCCACCCGGCGACCAGCAGGGGGCCAGCCCAGCGGCCAGCCCGGCGGTTTGCTTGGCTCGGTTCGGTCTGGCTTGGTCGGTTGTTGTTTTGTTGTTTCGTCGCTGCGGTCTTCGAGACTGCTTGCGGCCTTTCGGTTTCTGTCGGATTCGGTTCTGTCGGTCCTCAAACCTCGAGCCCCTCTGAACCCCGCTCTGCGCCATGGGGCTGCTCCTCCTCCTCGTCCTCGTCCTCCTCCTCCTCCTCCTCCTCCTCCTCCTCCTCCCCCTCCTCCTCTACCTCTCTTTTCTTCTGTTTAATCCCCTGCTTCTTCTTCCTCCTGTTTATCCTCTTCTTCTTCCTCCTCTTCCTCCTCCTCCTCCTCTTTTGCCCCTCCTCTTCTTCCTCCTCTCTTTTTGTTAGACCGACCTTAGGTTACCCTGTGGCGTTAGTCCTCCTCTTCCTCCTCCTCCTCTTCCTTTTCCTCCCTCCTCCCTATCCTCCTCCTTCTCCTCGCTTCATCCTTCTCCCCTCCCGCCCCCCCGTCAGAAACGCTCCGGTACCTCTCCGTGGGGGCCGTCGGGCCAAAAAGTGCGAAGCGGATCCATCCATGGCGACGAGATGCTTTCTGGGGGTTCATCAGAGCAGGCCGCCCAGAGGAGGCGAAAGGCTTCCTCCTCCTTCCCCTCCTCTTCCTAATCCTCCTCCTCCCCCTCCTCCTTCTCTTCCTCCTCCTCCTACTCTCCTCCTCCCCCTCCTCCTCCTCCTCCTCCTCCTCCTCCTCCTCCTCCTCTTCCTCCTCCACAATTATACAATATGAATACTACTCTCCTCTCTCTCTCTCTCCTGGTGACGTCCGGGATATATTCGGCCTCCTCCGCCTATTGTTTTTTTTTGCACTTGATTTTTTTCTGTGTGTGTGTAAACGATTCGGCTGGAAAGCGCCGATCCGACTGGACCCCGTGAGGAGTCTATGGGCCCAGTGTGAGCCGATTGTTCAACGAAGCCAGACCATCGAGCCTGTCAGCCCGCCGAACTTTTCCCTGACATCCGTCCTCGCCCGCCGCAGCTTCCCCCGCCGCCGCCGCCGTCGTCGTCTGCGTCGTTGTCGACGTCGGCGATTTTTGTGCGTTCCCTGGAGCTTCCGGAAGACTTCGGGCCATTCGCCACGCCTCGTGCAGAGTTGTCCGGGGAACCCAGGGGGATTTGGAAGGGGGCTCGGGGAACGCAAGGCAGCGTGTCGAAAGGAGGGGGGGCCTTACATTATTACAGTACCCCTACCAGACGGCACTTGACATTCGAAAGCGCCCACATCGGGCAGGCACGGTTGCGCAGGACATGGAGCCGAGATTTTGGACAGGTATTCTTCTTTTCTTCGTATGCGGGCTATTTACCCTTCAAGGCATCCGGTGCCATGCCATGGCATACAATGCGATGTTGCGTTGGTCTCCGCTGTGCGATGCCATGCTTTGCGATGTTACGCTTTGTGATGCAATGCTCCACTACACAAGTTCAAGCCATGCTATGACATGCTCTGCTCTGTCGCGCTCTTCTACACCATGCTATGTCGTGCTTTACCATGCATCGCAAACCCTTTCGGGACCATTGCCTTGCTCGACATCAGCCTGTGCGCATAAAGAGGAGATTTGCGCCATGGGAAAGGGTGGGAAGGAGGGGTATGACGACAGATCTGACGCGAGCGCACCTTGCTCGTCCTCCTCCCCCTCCTGCTCCCCCCCCTTCCTCCTCCTCCTTCTCCTCCTCCTCCTCCTCCTCCGCCTCTGCCTCCTCCTCCTCCTCCTCCTTCTCCTCCTCCTCCTCATCCTTCTCCTTCTCTTCTCCTCCTCTCCTCCTCCTCCTCTCCTCCTCCTCCTCCTCCTCCTCCCTCCTCCTCCCCCTCTTTGCTGCCCCCCCTCTTCCCTCCTCCCTCCTCCCTCCCCCCCCCCCTCCCCGCGCCCTGGGGCTCGAAACTCCGCCCCTGGCGCTCTCGCGGCGGCGGCTGCGCCGCCGCCCGCCGTGCCCCTGCCGCGGCTTCGGGGCGGTGCCTCGCGCGCTGGGCGCGTGCGCGGCGGCGGCCGCCGCGTGGCGGTGGTGGGGCAGGCCCCTCTGCGCGGCCCGCCTTCTCTCCTCCTCCTCCTCCTCCTCCTCCTCCTCCTCCTCCTCCTCCTCCTCCTCCTCCTCCTCCTCCTCCTCCTCCTCCTCCTCCTCCTCCTCCTCCTACTCCTCCTCCTCTCCCCCCCCCTCCTCCTCCTCCTCCCCCCCCCTCCTTCTCCTCCTCCTCCTCCTCCTCCTCCTCCTCGGCGCTAGCGGCGTGGGTGCGGAAGCAGCGGGGAGACTTGGGCATACCTCGGCCTCGGCGCTCGGTGTCCGCGGGCGAGGAGGGCTCGGTTCGGGCGCGGGTCTGGGACGATGTCGCGGAGCAGCATCGGGATGTCCTGCGCGGGCCCTCCGCGGCCCGGATATCGGACGAGAGATGTCTCTTTCCGCCTCGGCGGTTTCTTCGATTTCGGCTCTGGGGCCGCTGTCGGGGCCCTGGACCACCCAGAACGGGTACGGGACGCCAGAGTGCGCTTGGCAGCGGGGGCCTGGGAGCTCTGGGGCGCCTTCCGGCCGCCCGAGCCCTTGGGGCACTTCGGCACCCGCGGCGCGGGTTCGGAAGAACGGGACGAGTGCCGACACACGACAGGTCCCGTCAGTTGGGAAGAGGGGTCGCTGTTCTTGGCGCCGCGGACGGTGTCCATTCCAAGCAGAAGGTCGCCTTTCCAGCGGCGGCCGCTGCGGGGTTTGGCAACATTTGCCGCTGGGTGGTTCTATTCACTGCACCCCTTTCGGGTGTGCCAATTGTTGGCCCGAAGGCGAGGAGGAGCCGGATGCGGATCTTGGACCTTGGGACCGCCAAGACTTGGACCTGGGCTGTAGATCTGCGCCCAGCAAGGGAGGGCCGGGCCCGAGCACTGAGGCTCATGGCCCGAGGGCGAGGAGGGTTCGCGCGCGGACACGCCAGTCGTTGAAAGTAGGTACCTTTTGGATTCCCAGATCCCAGTCTGCTTCAAGCGCCTTCCTACTTCAAGAATCGGCATGCTTTTGCCGCGTCTTGATGTTCTCTGACGGGGGCTGAGCACAATCTGCTCTATCCGCCTCCATACTTCATGTTTTCTCCTGCTTCTTCCGACCGGCGTATAGCTATCTGGAACTATTGTGGCCCGAGGCCTTGGGGCATTTGGCCCGAGGGCGGGGTGGGTTCGGGATCGGATCGGGAGCGGTTTCTCGAGCGGGCAGGTCCTGCTTCGTTGGCGGCTCTCGCTCGAGGTTTGCAGAGGTGGTTGCTGCGCCTCCCTGTGATGCTGGAAGGATGACAGGGTTTCCCAGACGCCTGGGGAAGGAGGGCGGAAGGGAGTGAGGCAGGGAGGGAGGGAATAAGGGAGGGAGGGAAGAAGGGAGCGAAGAGGAAAAGGAGGAGGAGGAAGGAGGAGGAGGAGGAAGAGGGAAAGAAGGAGGAGGAGGAGGAGGAGGAAAGGAGGAGGAGGAGGAGGAGGAGGAGGAGGAGGAGGAGGAGGAGGAGGAGAGGAGGAGGAGGAGGATGAAGAGGAAGAGGAGGCTGAGGAGAGGAGGAGGAGGACGAGGAGGAGGAAGACGAGGAGGGGGGGAGGAGGAGGAGGAGGAGGAGGAGGAGGAGGAGGAGGAGGAGGAGGAGGAGGAGAAGGCCGAGAAGGGATGGAGGGGGGAGGGAAGGAGGGAGGGAGGGAGGAGGAGGAGGACTCCCAGTACCTACGGCGAAGCCAACGTTCCCAACGGGGCTTAAGGATGGCAGCTCCCATTTGGGATGATGGATTGCAAAAGGGAGTGGTACCAGTAATGGACAATACTACCTCAAGGATGGCAGTGACTACGACCCCATGACATCCACGACGGCTACCATCAGAACCCCAGTTACCGCAGATGGAGGACTACTCTGAAGGGTAGCTTGCATTCTCTCACTTTCAGTCTGTTGGTGCCAAGGCTCCTCCTGCTTCGTCATCGTTCGTCTTTCCACTCCTCTCACCTTTCCCGCTCCTAATTCACCTGTGGGCCTCCTCTCCCCCCCCAGGGTCGTGCCTCACTGACTGCTGGGGAAAGCTGAGGCCCTGTTCTTCCGCTTGCGGAGGCATAGGACCTCCGCCTTCGCCTCTCTCGGTGCGATGCTCCCCCTGTTCCCCCCTCGTTTTTGTCCCGTCGTTGCTGTTTGCTGTCGAGCCAGAAGAGGTACATCACACTGCAGCCTTTACTTCCTGTCCGATCTCTATGTTCTCTGCTCTATTGTGGCATCCACGCATCTTTAGCCTCATAGTGCATCACAGCTGCCAGTCCTCTCATTCACGGCCTGGGCTAATACGGTGGGGGCGTTAGTTAAGGAATGTGCCCAGAAGGCTCCAGACTGGAATATTCCTTCTCTGATGATGGCGGTGGTGATTTCCATGGCCAAGCCCAGACTGGTGTTCCACCAGCTTTCCAGACGCTGGACTCTTCATCCAGTGGTTCCTTATCCAATGCCCTCACCCTACCAGCAAGAGTGCCCATTACTGGCCCTCTCAGCGCGGCCCCAGCCTCTAGCGTACCATACCACAGCCACTGGCAGGCAGCGTAAGCCTTGCAGCGTACTTTTTGCGGGGACTGAGCGGGCAGTGGGATCGGGCATGGGAGGTCAGCACCCGAGGAGGGACGGACAGCGTCCCAGCAGCCTTACCAAGGTCGGGCAGGGCCGACCCTGTAGCAGCAGTCGGTCTCACTGCACGTTTGCTGCGCTCTCCGGCCCCCCTCGGGCTTGTCTTTCTGCTAATTTTCGAGTATCACAGCTGCCAGCCCTCTCGTGCGCGGCCTGGGTTTGCTACCGGCAACAGTACCCAATGCTGCCCTTCTCGTCGCGGCCTAGCCTTTAGCGTGCCAGTGATATCGGCCAGGCAGCGCTGGCCTAGCAGCGTACTTCTGGCGGGGATCGGGCGGGCTTCAGCTGGGGCATCGGGTATGGAGGTCTCTCGGGAAAGGACGGACAGCGTCCCTGCTGCCTTTTTTCCCAACCATCCTGTGGTGTTGGGTCCTCGTTTTGAAGAGACGGCGCCCCGCGTTCCTCACCTCCTCCTCCTCCTCCTCCCCCCCCCTCCCTCCTCCCATCATCATCATCATCATCATCATCATCATCATCATCATCATCATCATCATCATCATCATCATCATCATACATCATCATCATCATCATCATCATCATCATCATCATCATCATCATCATCATCATCATCATCATCATCATCATCATCATCATCATCATCTCATCTCATCATCATCATCATCATCATCATCATCATCATCATCATCATCATCATCATCATCATCATCATCATCATCATCATCATCATCATCACCACCGATTTCGGCACACCCCTCACACGTTTCGTGGCCCCATAGGGAGCTCCACCGAAGGCCCCAGTGGCAGGGTCCGCATGCCTCCCCCACCATCCATTTTTGGCACACGCTCACAGACGTTTCGTGGCCCCACAGGGAGCTCCACCGAAGGCCCCAGTGCTGCCGTCCGCATGCGTCCCGCACACCCATTTCGGCACAGCCCTCACACGTTTCGTGGGCCCATAGGGAGCTCCACCGAAGGCCCCATGGCTGCCGTCCGCATGCGTCCCGCACACCCATTTCGGCACACCCCTCACACGTTTCGTGGCCCCACAGGGAGCTCCACCGAAGGCCCCAGTGCTGCCGTCCGCATGCGTCCCGCACACCCATTTCGGCACCCCCCTCACACGTTTCGTGGCCCCATAGGGAGCTCCACCGAAGGCCCCATGGCTGCCGTCCGCATGCGTCCCGCACACCCATTTCGGCACACCCCTCACACGTTTCGTGGCCCCATAGGGAGCTCCACCGAAGGCCCCAGTGGCTGCGGTCGCATGCCTTCCCACCACCCATTTCGGCACACCCCTCACACGTTTCGTGGCCCCATAGGGAGCTCCACCGAAGGCCCCAGTGGCAGGGTTCGCATGCCTCCCCACCACACATTTCGGCACACCCCTCACACGTTTCGTGGCCCCATAGGGAGCTCCACCGAAGGCCCCCGTGGCAGGGTCCGCATGCCTCCCCACCACCCATTTCGGCACACCCCTCACACGTTTCGTGGCCCCATAGGGAGCTCCACCGAAGGCCCCAGTGGCAGGGTCCGCATGCCTCCCCACCACCCATTTTCGGCACAGAGTCGCCCTCACACGTATTTCTGTGCCCCATAGGGAGCTCCACCGAAGCCCCATTGGCAGGGTCAGGGTCCGCTGCCTCCCCCCACCCCTTTCGGCACACCCCTCACACGTTTCGTGGCCCCACCATAGGGAGATCCACCGAAGGCCCCAGTGGCTGCGTTCGCATGCCGCCACCACACCAATTTCGGCACACCCCTCACACGTTTCGTGGCCCCACAGGGAGCTCCACCGAAGGCCCCAGTGGCTGCGTTCGCATGCCGCCCCCACACCAACTTCGGTGCACCCCTCACACGTTTCGTGGCCCCATATGGAGCTCCACCGAAGGCCCCAGTGGCAACGTTCGCATGCCGCCCCCACACCCATTTCGGCACACCGCTCACACGTTTCGTGGCCCCATAGGGAGCTCCACCGAAGACGGTACTCACACCAGCATTACTCACAACTGCATATGGTTGGGTCCTTCGCCAGGCTAATTTAGGTCAGGCAGAGCCGACCCTCTAGCAGCATTCAGTCTGACTGCATCTTTGCTGTACTCTCCTACTCCCCCTCGCGCGTGTCACTGCCAGTTCTATCACCTACTTCCCCTCGCGCTTGTCACTGCCAAGTCTGCCCGTCCTACATCACCCACTCTTCGGGCATCTTTTAGCCTCATAGTGCATCATGGCTGTCGGTCCTCTCATGCATGGCCTAGGCTTACTACCAGCACGGACCGAGCCTCCAGCATACCACCGACAGAGGAGGTGGCGCAGCAAGTATTCCTGGTCCCCCTGGATTCCAGGGAGATGGCCGTCATATTTTTAAGCCTCACAGTCCCGAGTGTTACAAACAGCTGGGCCAGCCAATTTCGTCTGCGCCAGCCTTACATCATGCCTGCTTCATCCTTGCGCTAACTGTAATACTGCTTCTGCTGTCCTACGCTATTTTGGCGAGTAAGTAGGGGGCTGGCCATCAGGACCCACTCCTCTGTGGATCACTTACCACAGCACCTGTCAGCTCGTACAGTCTCTTATCCAGCCCAGCTAGATATTCTTTTCAACACTTTTCCTCGTCACATGTCCCACGGGCCAAACAGTCTCCATGGCCAGCCTACGCATGTAAGGCCAATCGTTGCCACTAAGGGTTCGTGCTTACCCCAAACGAAGTTACAACAAAAACGAGGATCCTGGGACCATGCGAGGCTTGGGCCTCGAATCTTACCTCCGCATACCTCCCCCAACTCACAGCCACCTCATCGCTAGTACGGTTCTTATTTGCGGTTTAAACAGGTCAGCCATCTTCTGCGCCAGCCTCCCGCATGCCCGTGCGGCGCGCACGCTGCGCAGTCTCGCCTGTATCCTACGCTGTCGCTGGATTCCAAATTGCACATTAACAGGCCAGCTGCCCTCTGCGCCAGCCTCCCACATGCCAGTGCGTTGCAGTTGCCCATGGCCCGTTCTATTTCTGTCTGTGCTTCTTCTCTTGGCTTGCGTTCTACGCTTACACCTAGGGATCATCGGAGCTGGGTGGTGGGTTACTTACATTCGCTGTAGCGGTGGGGGATGGTCACTCTGTATCATCTTTATGTTGCCTGTTGTTTTTTTGCGCCCTTCTACTGCACTGCACGCGTATGTCGACACTCCCATGCCTCTACTTCTGTTACCCTCTGTTGTTCCTAAGGTTGTTATGGTTGATTGTTCTCTCTCTCTTCCACATCGGGGGCAGGCATTGGTAGTCTAGCCCTTGAGCACTGTGCTTTTGCTGTTACTCGTTCCTGATCCGCACGGGCCTGCCGCCTAATTTGCTCACGCCATTGCGTTACGTCGGCATTTAGCACCATGTCAGAACGCTGTGAGCAACGTGCTCGAAGTCCGGTGAACGTCAAACTGGAGGAGGAACTTACGTATCATGTTGATGGCGGTGATGATAATCATGATCACGGCGATGGTGATGGTGATTATGACGATGATTGTGATGATACGAATGACGATGCTGATGATGATACTTATGGTGACGACGACGGCGATGATGATGCTGATGATGGTGGTGGTGATGATGGTGATCGTGACGAGGAGGAGGATTCTGAGGGGGCGGGAAAGAGGATTACATTTCGGATTCATTCCAGCAGGAAGGGGGACGATGACCAGAAGGACGATTGAGGCGTGGTTGAAGAGGACAGGGTCGATGATCATGATGCTGATGATGATGGTGATGCTGCTGATGATGATGATGCTGCTGATGATGATGATGATGGTGATGATGATGATGATGCTGATGATGATGATGATGATGATGATGATGCTGATGATGATGATGATGATGATGATGATGATGATGATGATGATGATGATGATGATGATGATGAATGATGACTTGAGGAGGAGGAGGAGGAGGAGGAGGAGGAGGAAGGAGGAGTAGGGAGAGGAGGAGGAGGAGTGAGGAGGAAGATGAGGAGGAGGACGGGGAGCAGGAGGATGAGGAGAAGGATGGGGAGTAGGACGAGGAGGAGGGGGGAGGAGGAGGAGGGGGAGGAGGAGGAGGAGGAGGAGGCGGAGGAGAGGAGGAGGAGGAGGAGGGAGGAGGAGCATCCTACCTCCCCGCTCAGGCTCGTGGTCACCATCGATGGGGTGGTCTACAAGAGCCACCATGGCGCATGCAGAGCGGCCGTGCCCGCGGGGCGTGGCCGCAACAAGCCGAGGCATCGATCGACCCGTCGTCGTCGTCGTTGTCGTCGTTGTCGTCGTCGGCTCCGTCGTCGTCGTCCATTCTCGTCGGTCGTAGTCGTTTTGTTCGTCGTCGTCGTCGTCGTCGTCGTCCGTCGTCGTCCGTCATCCTCGTCGGTCGTAGTCGTTTTTGTCGTCGTCGGCAGTCGTCGTCGGTCGTCGTCCGCGGTCGTCGGTCGTCGGTTGTCGGTTGTCGGACGTCGTCGCTGTCGTAGTCATCCGTCGGCCTTCGTCCGTCGGTCGTCGTTGTCCATCGTCGTCGTCGTCGGTCGCCGTCCATCGTAATCGTCGGCCGTTGTCGTTCGGTGTCGTCGTCGGTTGTTGTCGTCAGTCATTGTCCGTGGTCGTCCGTCGTCGGTCGGTTGTCTGTCCTCGGTCGTCGGTCGGTTGTCGGTCGTCGGTCGTCGGTAGTCGGTCGTCGGTCGTCGGTCGTCGGTCGTCGTCGTCGTCGTCGTCGTCGTCGTCGTCGTCGTCCATCGCCGTCTTCCCTTATTCCTGGTGCTGCTCGTCCTCTTCTTTCTCCCTGCTTTGTCTCATCCTGATTCATTAGTGGTATGTGCTTGCGCTCTGCCGCCTAGCTGGCTGATTGCAACTGGGCTCGGGGGATTCCATTTCCTCCCGTTGAAACTATGCATGGTCTACGTCCCTCCTCTCAACATAAGCGTTACGTCGTCGACGTTGCAGCATGCGTGACAGAAGCGGGACTGGGCGCATGTCCCGCTCGAAAGGGCGAAGTGCCGCTCTTCCCTCGGCGCTGCGCACAGTCTCCTCGAAGTTAGGCCCCCGCTTGGGCGCGGCGCGGATGTTTGACCCGTCAGTGGCATGCTGCCGTACAGTGGCATGCTGCGGGGCCACGTGGCCGGTCTGTATTCACGCCAGGAGTGCCGCCTCGTGCACGCCACGGCGGCGGGCCCCGACCTGGAGAGAGTCGCCGCGTTCCGTTGGGCGGCTTGACCCGTCAGTTCGTCGGCAGCGGGGTCGCCTGCGAGCGGGCGACGCGTCGCTCTCGCCCTGGGCGCGGCGCAGTCTTCGCCCGAACAGGGGCGCTCTCGCGCGGGTGCGGGGTCGCGCCCATGGGAAGGTTGGCGCCCATGATGCCTTTGGCGTCGCGTCGCTGGAGACGTTTCCTTCGCCATTCCCCCACGCCTCGCGCAGGTTTCGCTCGGAAGTGGTGCTCCGTCGCTTTGGTGCGGCGCATGCTCTTCGTTCGCCGGCTCGCAGGAGGGCCGCACGTAGCGGCAGGGGGGGCGCGAGAGTGGGTGATTTGTTGGGCTCGCCCTGGCGCCGCGCAGATTTGATGTGAAATTGGCACATTTGCCTCGGCGCGGCGCATGCTTCGTTGGAGCCGCGCTCTTGGCAAGGTTCGGCCGCCTAAGAGATAGCCAAATGGTGCTGTCGTCGCAGTGCTGCGCAAGGACTTCATCGAAGTTCCGCTGGCGCCGGTGCGCGGCAATTTGGTGGTTGAGCTATTAAAAAACAAGTATCATTGATCCCCCCAGTGCCAACTCTGCATTTTCTCGATGCCAGTGCTTCTTTCGGGGCTCGCACTTTGTTTTTTGCACGGGGGAGCCTTGCGGCTCGGGTTGGGCCCTCGGCTCTCGAGAGCTACAACCACAGCGGCTCCCGCCTGATGCTTTCTTTCGAACTCGCGCTCGCGCATGGGACTTTCTCAGTCTTTATGCAGGAGTCGCGATCTCTCGTGGTGTTTCCTGGGAATTTATTCAGGCGCCGCGCCCTCGACACTCAGGCCTCACGCCCACGCGCCGGCCTTTCTCGCGAATTCCTTGGGAATCGCGCTGTCGCTCGAGATTCCCTCGCGATTCATGCAGGACTCACGCTTCAGCATCCCGCCTGCTCGACCTGGCCGCCTGGGCACGCCCTCCCCGCCCGCCCGTGAGGGTCTATCGGCCCGATGTGCACGTCTGGTTCTGCCACGTGCTTTTTGCTCCGAGCCCCCTCCTGCTAATCTCTGTCGTGTTCCATCCTCCTCCCTCCTCTTTCCATCTGTCCTCTCTTCCCATTTAGGGGCTGCGCTAAATACACGTGGCAGGTACGGAAGATCCACCCCCAAGGGGGAAACATCGAAGACGAAAAGGGAAGAGGCCGGGTACCGAGGTTTGGGATATGCGTGTTGAGTGTGAGTGGCACGCAAGTAGTTCGGAGCGTGCAGTCTTACACTGATGATTGTTGTTGAATTCTCATTTCTGAAGAATAGTTATTGTTGATCCCCACCCACCGGTGCATATTGTTTTTTCTCAATCAAAGTGTGCCCCTCGACGCTCGCACCCTGTTTTTTGACCGGGAAAGTCTTCCTGCTCAAACTGGGCCCCTGGCCCCCGGGTTACAACAACAACGGCTCCCGCCTGAGACTTCCTTACAATTTAGCCAGGACCCCCGCTCCCGGCCGAGACTTCCTCGCATTTAGTCAGGAATCGCGATCACGTTTGGGACTTCCTTACAATTTATTCAGGAAATCGCTCTCCCGGCGCTCTGGAGTCGCGCTCTCGCTGGAGACTGGCTTGCAACTTACTGAAGACTGGCCTTGCGTTGGAATTTCCTGCAATTTGCCTACGCGCCGCGCTCCCGACACCCAGGCACCCAGGAGTCGCGCCCGTTGTGGCCCCATGTGCGTGCCCTTCGTGGCCCCGCTGTCGCCGTTTGTGGCCCCCTCTCTGTCCTACGTGGCCCAGTTGCTACCCTCATTGGTCCCATAGTTGCCTTCTGTGGCCCCGCATTATCTGCACTTCGTGGCCCCCGCTCTTCGTGGCCCCATACGCATTCCCTTCGTATCCCCGCTGTCGCCCTTCGTGGCCTACTTCGTGCCCTTCGTGGCCCTGCTGTCCTTCTCTCTCGCTCTCGCTTTCGCTCGTCGTCGCCGTCGTCGTCGTCGTCGCCGTCGTCTTCGACGTCGTCGTCGTCGTCGTCGTCGTCGTGGTCGGTCCCCTGTCCGTCCCTCTTGGGGTCGGGTCGACGGTCCGGGGCTGCCCCGCCGATCGGCCAGGCCAGGCCGACGGTCCGCGGCCGCCCCGCCGCTTGCCGGGGCCCGGCCTGCAGGGAAGAAAGGTCTACCCCCCCAAATGGGGTTCGATCGAATACGAAGAGGGCGGGTATCGAGGGTTTGGGAAATACGCGTTATTGGACACTCGAGCATATAAGGGCGAACGGTCTTAAAAGTATGGTTGTTGTTTGTTGTTGTTGTTGTTGTTGTTGTTGTTGTTGTTGTTGTTGTTGTTGTTGTTGTTGTTGTTGTTGTTGTTGTTGTGTTGACTTTGTTGTTGTTGTTGTTGTTGTTGTTGTTGTTGTTGTTGTTGTTGTTGTTGTTGTTGTTGTTGTTCCCCACATGCTTCGTGGGGTTCTGGTTTTCTTCCCTGCCGCGCCGCACCCGCGACACTCACACACACACACCTCACTCTTCGTACAGCACAGCACAGCACAGCACAGCACAGCACAGCACATCACAGCACAGCGCAGCACAGTTCAGCTCAGCACAGCACACAGCTCAGCTCAGCTCAGCACACAGCACAGCGCAGCACAGCACAGCACAGCTCAGCTCAGCTCAGCTCAGCACAGCACAGCTCGGCTCAGCTCAGCACAGCTCAGCACAGCCCAGCACGGCTCAGCACAGCACAGCACAGCTCGGCTCAGCTTGACACGCTCGCAGAGCGTGGCAGGCGCTGCATTTTCTCGGCACCGCTGGGGGCCCAGGGCGTTGCAGGCGTGGCACTTCCTCGACACCACAGGGGGGGAGCTGTGGGTGGGGACGCTATCCGTTTCGGGCTCGCAAAGCGTGGCAGGCGTGGCACTTCCTCGACACCACAGGGGGGGAGCTGTGGGTGGGGACGCTATCCGTTTCGGGCTCGCAAAGCGTGGCAGGCGTGGCACTTCCTCGACTCCACAGGGGGGGAGCTGTGGGTGGGGACGCTATCCGTTTCGGGCTCGCAAAGCGTGGCAGGCGTGGCACTTCCTCGACACCACAGGGGGATGGCTGTGGGTGGGGACGCTATCCGTTTCGGGCTCGACATCACAGGGGTGGGAGCTGTGGGTGGGGACGCTATCCGTTTCGGGCTCGCAAAGCGTGGCGGGCGTGGCACTTCCACGACACCACAGGGGAGAGCTGTGGGTGGGGACGCTATCCGTTTCGGGGGGACGCTATCCGTTTCGGGCTCGCAAAGCGTGGCAGGCGTGGCACTTCCTCGCACCACAGGGGGGGAGCGTACCACACAGGGGGGGGAGCTGTGGGTGGGGACGCTATCCGTTGCGGGCTCGCAAAGCGTGGCAGGCGTGGCACTTCCTCGACACCACAGGGGGGGAGCTGTGGGTGGGGACGCTATCCGTTTCGGGCTCGCAAAGCGTGGCAGGCGTGGCAGTTCCTCGACACCGCAGGGGGGAGCTGGGGTCTATCCGTTTCGGGCTCGCAAAGCGTGGCAGGCGTGGCACTTCCTCGACACCACAGGGGGGGAGCTGTGGGTGGGGGGTTTTCTTCCCTGCCGCGTCGCACCCGCGTCTCACCTCACACCTCCCCTCCTCCTCACAGCACTGCTCAGCACAGCTCAGCTCAGCTCAGCACAGCACGGCACAGCTTAGCACAGCTCAGCTCAGCTCAGCTCAGCACAGCACAGCACAGCGACAGCACAGCGACAGCACAGCGCAGCACAGCACAGCTCACCGCAGCACAGCACAGCACAGCACAGCACACAGCACAGCACAGCACAGCTCAGCTCAGCACAGCACAGCACAGCGCAGCTCAGCTCAGCTCAGCTCAGCACAGCACAGCACAGCACAGCACAGCACAGCTCACCGCAGCACAGCACAGCACAGCACAGCACAGCACACAACACAGCACAGCACAGCACAGGCGTGGCACAGGCGTGGCACAGGCGTGGCACGCATGGCAGTTCCTCGACACCACAGGGGGGGAGCTGTGGGTGGGGACGCTATCCGTTTGGGGCTCGCAAAGCGTGGCAGGCGTGGCACT